GAACTGCGTTCTTCAGGATTGGTGATCGGTGGCCCATCACGTCCAGCTGAGAGCGAGTTGAGTATTTTCGGCATGTTTTTATCACAGGAAATAGAAAACGGTTTACAAATAAGTGATAGGTCGCCTTTTCCTGAGTATATATTATTTTTGTGAACATCAGGAGCAAAGAGCGACTCAGCCTTCGCAGACAGGTTCTAAGTAGTCTTCGATTTCTGACGGTTATCGAGCACTTCGTCGACGGAAGATTAGCTTCGGAAGCACGATGGAGTCGGTATGCCTAGGAATCTGAACTAAACCGACAGGATGCTATGTTAAACTCCGCATTGTGGATTCCTGAGAGCCACGGTGAGGGATGAAGATATCGCCGGCAATGAGATCCGTGAAAGCGGAGATAACTTGCACTTTTAAACTGATTACTCGATTTATTTCAACAAGGCTTAACTCTGGGTGGGAACGGGTGATCAAAATGTCAAAACTTGGGAAGACGAGTAAATTCCAGTCGAATTCAAACGGCGCGGGTGGGAACGGGTGATCAAAATGTCAAAACTTGAGAAGACGAGTAAATTCCAGTCGAATTCAAACGGCGCGGGACTTTCAGCAGAAAATAGCAGTATTTAGTGCGCGACTCATCCTTTTACTAACAAATATGGCTGTGATTACGCTGTAAGCGAGTTTTGCGTGCCCTTGGTTGAAAATATAAATAGAGCAGGCGTCTTTTTTTAAAAAAAATTCGCCCTTAGAGAAAAAATACGAAATGTATGAAATATATGTAGGCGCTACTCAGCCGTTTTGAGTATATCGAAGACCCTGAATAACGCCTGGTCTTCCTTGGTGGCAACGATTTGTTTTCCTAGACCGGTATTTGTGCGCGAATCGAATCTGTTGTCCGCTAGATTTTAATGAAAAAAATCATTCCGTGTAGTCAAACTTCTGATAAATTTCCATACGAGAAAAACTTTTAGAGACGCAGTAAGTAATTTAATACGCTCACTTCCGGCGACAGCTTCAGAGACAGTAAGCGCGAAGTGGTATCGACATCAATGTAGTCCCAGTTGGAGCGCAGAAAATGTAGTTGTTCTCAGTCGGGGTCAGTCCTGTCATGACTGAGTGGCGCATTGATGATAGTTTTTCAAGCTCCCCATCTGTTCTAGAATAATGCCGGATAGTTCCAGCAGATTGTTAGGATAGATAAGTTGCCAAGTATGAAGTTAGGTAGAAAACGACTCAGTCATTTGTAATTTTGGATGCGGATCTTGGAGAATAGCTGTCACGTAGAGAGCCTTGTATAGATAAGAGAACGATTGCAGGCCGCCGTTGAGGACAAATTTGAGATATATTTCCCTGGCGCAAATGGACAGGAGTAATCACTGAATCTGTTCTTTGAAGTATTCGATGGGACCTTTCCCTTCACACATTGGGAAATAAATTCGAAACACATAGATTCTAATAACTGCAGAACTCTCGAGTTGCGCACTCGAAATCCAAATACTATGCTGTTAGCTCTCAGCTTAATTCCACGCGACGCCGAGCCTATCCTATAGTACCGACTAAAACCAAAGAAAACTCGGATAGCTGGAGATTCGAACCAAATCCGATGGATGATGCTAGGGACACAGACGGACTAGCGTAGCGCAGCTTGGACAGATTGATTTGGGGAAATTTCTAAACACGATTTTTAGACAGGTTATCGCGAAAGTAATGACAGATGGGGTAAAAAAGAGTCATATGTAAGCAAATATAATACTAAAGTAAGGAGAAACTGGAGGCAGTACATTTTATCTAAGAGTAACGGTAATTCCTTCGAAGACTCTATTGAAAACAGAGCATAAAATATTCAAGGTCAAACAGACATATTACCAGAATGTTGCCAGTGGCTTTTACACTTCAGCGAGTGTTATTTAAGACGTATGGGACTGCAACCCCCACTTATTGACGATAATGTTAAATACGAAATAAAAGGCATCCGCATTAGTTGTATGTACGTGCAAAGCGCTTGTTCGGCGAAACAGTGTCGCCCTGTTAAGTTAGGCCTATAATTGACAAAATACCAACAGAGTTGGCAAAGCCCCTTTCTACTCTCTTCGAGTTGTCATTGAGAACAGCGAGATTGCCCTTGCAGTGGAAGGCAGTAAACCTCCTTCTCTTACATAAGGGGAGCAACGGGAATACTCAGTCCAAATTGAGATTTTTGTACTCTAATGCTCAAAGTGAAGTTTGGAAGATCGACGAACTCAAAGTGACAGTATCAGAACAAAACCCCGACATCATTACTGTATCGGAAACGTGGCTCAAAGCCGAAACCGTGAATGCCGAGATTTCGATACGGGGGTACCAGTTCTTTATTTGAAACTGCCAAAATAAACGGGGCAGTGGGGTATTCGTACGTAAAAGGACAGCCATTTCGAGAGTTGATCGGGCCCACACCCTCACCCTTGATAATGCATCCGCCTGAATGAATACAAAGATGAGTAGCGCACAAAACCTACAATTCCTGACGGTTTATAGGTCACCAAACCTTCCGGGTTCTGCCGAAGAGTCGATCCTCAGTTTTTCCGAGGTGGTAGCTGTCAACCAAGAGTTCTCATTGCTGGGGATCTCACTTCACCTGCAATAGGGTGGGAGAGCTTGGCAGTGAGCCAGCTTCTTTCAGCCATAAGCTGATGGACCTTACACTCGCCTCCTTCTGGCACAATATTTAAAGTATCGCTTCCTGGGATCCCTCATCAGAAATGTTAATTTGTCGATGTTTCAGTTCATGCATCGTGCCCCTCACAGAATGCGCTCTATCGAGGCTCTTGGCAGAACCTTCTGTATTCGCCATATACTAGTAGTCTGGTTGCATCTCCCTTGCCTCCTCCTCGGCTGGACTCGGCTGACTGTAACCGATCGCATCTGAGTTCCTATCGCCTCGAGACTGGTTTTCTATTCGCCACTTTGACGTGAATGGCCTCATCCGGCATTTGAATTCTGCCTTGATGATGCCCGTTTAGAATGTTTTACTCAGTACCACGTAAAGGCCAATCCTGCATGACCCACCTGCTCGCCCCTTCATGAAATCCTTTATACACTGCCACATACAGGCCGGTCCTGCCTGTTTTTATGCATTATGGAAAGAGTTTTTTCTCCTATAGTGTTTATCCAGGCATACTCATTTTGTTTATATGTTAGGAATTTTTTTAAATGCTCGTTTATCATTCTCCCTAACATACTACATATTCAATAACTAAGAATTAAGTATGGCATAGATTCTGCATACCTGTTCTCAAATTCATGCACAAGTCATTATTACTTGCTTTGAAAGGATCCCCTCTGGTCTGGAACAAAAATAATTATTATTATAAAGGCACCAACGAGATTTAGGGAGAGCCAGAGAGCCAATTCTTGGACCTAGTTCTTACGAAAGACCTACAAAATTGACGAAGTGTACTCTAGCGCACCTTATGGAAAGAATGCGCATACTACGCTAATGTCAGACCACTCACCTTTCTCTCAATTCCAAGGGTAAATAACAGGCCAGTCTAATATATGGAAGGCAGATTTGATCACGAATAAGAACGAACTGGTGCCCGCGAACTGAGATCGTTTGCACGAAGGAGATCCGGAGGACGACTGGAGATCGTTGAAAACGATTTCACTCAACCTACTTCGGAGCTGCCGTCAAATGAAGACACAAGAACGACTAGTCGGTCTGCCTGTTTAACTAGGGACCTGAAAAGACCGTTACAGAAGAAAAATAAAAGATGGTGTATATTTAGGGAACCTGACTCCGCTGTGCACTTTGAACTGTTTCTTCAACGAAATGCAGTCAAAAATGCATTCGCCAGGCAAGAAAGGAGTATGAATCCAGAATTACCCAACGGGTCGCACAACACCCCAAGATTTTATTTCACTTTATCTACAGTAGACTGCAAACGCAGATGTTGTCGCAGTACTTAGGGATGATAAACGTGCAGAAATCGTTAAAAACAGCGTGAAAGTCGAATCTTTTGGACGGTAATTTGTTTTAGTTTTCCGTAAGGAAACAGAGTCTCAGAGTCACAATGCCAGCAATGCTATTATGACTGCTGGTCCCGTGACTGAATCCATATTCTTCCTAGCATCTGCCGTGTGAAGAGAGCTAAAAATCTCAAAGAAGCACAGTCGTCGGGTCTGGAAAATATAGCGGCCAAATTCTTTAAATAATTGGCAAGTGAACTATAGAAAACAGTAGCACGCATCCTCCTTTTGTCATTCGAACTAGGGAGGCTGCTATCCGAGTGGAAGACAGCAAATATCTTTCCGATATGCAAGTGCGATGCTCGCATTAGTGCGCAATTATCGGCCCATTCATCTCGACTGAATCTGCTGTAAAGTAATAATAATCGTAATGGTAAATTTTTGTTATCATTTTACGATAATAGCAGTTTTTTTAAAAACCCATCGAGGTCCCATCAAAGAAAATAAAAATAATTATTCATTTGAATTTTAGACGATATAGGCAATAAATGCAGTTCATGGTTTCTGAATTAGCAGTTCGTCAAGAAAAATGATGAGCGCGCAGTGGAAAAAAACCACTTAAAATGTGACAAGAGAAAAAACTGTCATTAATAATAGGACAAAAATGCGGGCAGGACTGGCCTGCATGTGGCGGTGTATTACGAATTATAATCGGACATCGTCAGGGCAGGAATAAATGTCAGCCTTGAGGGGTACGTATGCGGGTCGGACAGGGCTGGTCTGCATGTGCTATTGTATACGGGATTAAGAACGGACATCATCAGGGTCGAATTGATACGCCGGATGAGACTATTCGCGTCAAAGTGGTCAGACAAGAGGAACCCAGACACGATCGGCCACCGTCCGCTTCGAACCCAGCCGAGGAGTGTGCGAGGGAGGTACGACCAAACTACTAGTAGACGGCGAATACTGAGGGTTCCGCCGTGGGTGTCGACAGACCGTTAGAGGTCGAGACCAACGGAGTGAAGCAGGGCTGCGTGCTGGCGCCAACCCTCTTCAGTCTTATGTTCTCTGCCATGCTGATGGACGCCTACCTCGATGAACGCCCCAGGATCCGCATCGCCTACAGGACGGACGGTCACCTCCTGAATCAACGGCGGATGCACTTCAAATCGCGCGTATCCACAACCACCGTGCACGAACTCCTCTTCGCCGACGACTGCGCCCTGAACACCACCTCGGAAGAGGAGATGCAACGGAGCATGGACCTGTTCTCCGCCGCCTGCGAGAACTTCGGTCTGGTCATCAACACACAGAAGACGGTGGTGATGCACCAACCGCCACCCAATTCAGCCACAGCCCCCAACGCGCCGCCGCAAATCAGCGTGAACGGAACCCAACTGCAAGTGGTGGAGAACTTCCCGTACCTGGGCAGTACTCTCTCCCGCAACAGCAAGATCGACGACGAAGTCGCCAACAGGATCTCGAAAGCCAGCCAAGCCTTCGGTCGCCTCCAAAGCACAGTTTGGAATCGCCACGGTCTTCAGCTGGGCACGAAGCTGAAGATGTATAAGGCCGTCATCCTGCCGACACTACTGTATGGAGCGGAGACTTGGACGGTGTACGCAAAGCAGGCACGTCGTCTGAACCACTTCCATCTCAGTTGTCTTCGTCGCATCTTGAGGCTCAAGTGGCAGGATCGAATCCCCGACACTGATGTGCTGGAACGGACGGGAATCCTCAGCATCTACGCCATACTGAGGCAAATTAAGCTGCGCAGGAGCGGTCACCTGGTGCGCATGGATGACGAGCGACTACCCAAACGACTCTTCTACGGAGACGTCGCGACGGGTTCTCGCCGTCAAGGAGGCCAGATTCGCCGTTACAAGGATACCCTGAAGTCCTCCCTGAAATGCCTGCAAATCAACCCCACCAACTGGGAGGAGCTCGCACTCGATCGACCGACCTGGAGGAGGACAGTGAAGACAGACGCTGCTATCTACGAGGCCAACCGCATCGTCGTCGCCAAAGCGAAACTCGAAGCCCGCAAATCTCAACTGCGCCCAGTACGCAACGCCGCCGCACAACCGCTTCCAACGTGTCCTCGATGTCAACGGACATTCCGGGCTCGAATCCGACTTGTTGGACATCTTCGGATTAACTGCGCCTCTCGAACGGCACCAACGATCGTCCCCCGTCCGCTTCTTCCTCCTCTCCGCCGCCAACTAACTCTGACAATTCGTCATCATCATCATCATCATCATCATCATCATCATCATCATCATCATCATCATCATCATCATCATCATCATCATCATCATCATCATCATCATCATCATCATCATCATCATCATCATCATCATCCTTCTTCTTCTCCTCCTCCTCCTCCTCCTCCTCCTCCTCGCCCACTGCTCCAACGGCGGTCGCTCAGGCGACTGTCCCGCGCGCAACAGCCGACACTACCACCACCTTCCCCGACTCCAGCGATGAGGATCAGGACTACACCTGCCCTCACTGCGACCTCATCTTCACCTCAAGCATCGGCCTGGTCGGTCACTTGCGAATCCATCGCACAGAGACTGGCGAACCAGTGCCTGGAGCACCCACCTATACCCACCAAGCTCGTCTCAACTGCCCACACTGCCCTCGCACTTTCAGGCATCGCATGAGCCTATTCGGCCACATGCGCATCCACGACGACCTGCGGTAGACAACCGCCGGCCACACCACACATTCACTAGCTCCCTACCTCCTCCACCACCACCATCACCCCACCAGAAATCAACACTCACACACCTCATGCACCCAACTTTCACCTCCCACGCAAGTGGGAAGTCCGCATTTCGACTCGATCCACATGCGGCTTCGGCTGCACGGGTGACTGTGTCCGAGACTATCCCGACACGTCAAGCGTCGTGGATAGGAAGGTTGCTGATTGACGCCCGCTGTCGGTTCACGCAGTTCGTCGCGTTGTGTGTGTGTGTTGTTTGGAGTGGCGGACTGGTGGGCTGGGAACGGGCTGCAACAGCACCTTCCACGGCACTCTCACGCAAGTGAGAGACACGCCGTTCAACCCCCGTTGTGTGAAATCCTGGCGTTGTGTGTATGGGGGACCAGGTCGTGCCGTGGCGCGCGCAGTCATGGTCAGTCGACCATGTCAGCCACCGCGCCCATTCCCCACTCCAGTCTGCTGACCGGCTCGGACAGCGGCTGGGGTGTGGGAGTGGGAAGGGAGATTGAGGTCGACGACTCAGCGCACTTTCTCCTCACTATAAACAATCTGACGCGCTTGAAGGTATCACGGTGCGCTAAAAACCGTGGCTTGGAAGGTTGCCAACTGACGGGGTAACTTGGACCTCCTCCTTGACTGGAGGCGGTCTGAGAGTCAGGCTGCAATGGCTCCTTTTTAATGTGGCCTTTATGGCACTCCCACCACAGTTTGAGATCCGAGCCAGGCGTTGGCGGCACGCCCAGGTGTGGCTTCGGCCGTGCCAGCCTCCAAATCTCTGTTGTGTTGGTTGAAATCCTGGTCATTTGTTGTGTGAACCAGGGGGTGTGGTGGAACGCCAAGGTGAGGATCCGTCCGAGCCATCCATCTGCGGCCTCCCTCGTCTCCGGTCTTCTTGACTCTGTCTTGACACCGGGCTTGGGCGAGGGAGGAGGAGAGAGTGTAGGTAGATGCTACGCAAGTATACCGGCACTATAAACTCCTGCGTAAGTCACCGTCCCCACTCCCACTGCTGCTGCAACTGTGGGGCACACGGTGGACATCATCGAAACCGATGGTCGAACTGTCAGAGATCGAGAGGAGAAAATGACATCAAGAACCGCGAAAATCGTCGTTATGGGTGAGGAGTGATAGCAGTTATAAAAAAATAAATGAGGTTTTTCACTTGATCCACCACTTAATCCCAGCAGGACCCTTGTCGAAGTCTAGAACTTGAGTGTTCGGGAATGAGACCGTTAAAATTATCTTTAAACTTTCCGGTGTAATGTGTTTGCGTTATTTCGATTTGAATTCAGTTCAGTTCAGTCGATTGAGGGAAATAAGCGTACACCTTTTAGTTCTCTATTTGCTATGTAAAATGTGCGATAGGCAGAAGATGTTCTTGGCTGAAATTGTTCAAACAAACCCATAGTGGTAAGACAAAATGGGAATGATTTAATGGGGATGATCTCGAGCTCTCGTCGTTCTTGTTCACTTCAGAACACGAACATGCCCTGATCCCTTGTAAAACCTCCCATTCATGGTGACACCGCAGCATGCCGGGAGGGTAACTTATGTTTTTGTCACTCTGACAGAGAATAAGAACTTCCGGACATCCAGGCCTGCCTGATGAATGGACAGATTTAACTGGCGACCCCGGAGCTTTTTCGTGGTGGATAATTCAAAAATGTCCTCAAAGAAGAGGCTGCAGTCCAATCCCCAGGCAATGCGGAATTCTTATAAGAGGTCGCCGCGCATTTGACTGTAAGTCAAAGAAAATAAGATTTTTTTAAGCGGGTTGCATAAGGAAATAAGTTTTAATCCCTAAACATTTTAATGGCTCTCTGTTTAGCTGTTTCAAAGCTATTTTGATCCTGTACTGCTCATGGTCTCCAGGCATACAACAATATGTCCAATGCGACCGTAAGAAGGTCCCAAAAATATTCAAGAACACGTCTTCTTCAAAATGCATAAATGCTTGCTTGATGGCGTACACAATGCTATACAAAATTCACAGTTGGATAAGAACACTGGATGCAAAACAGACTTTGCAAGTGACCTACATTGATCTTCGGAAGACGTCCGACAGTGTTTCGCACTAGCATTTCCTGTACAAGTTGAGAGTCATGGGCATAGGCAGAAAACGTCTCAAACGGATCGAAAATTTCCTCATTGGCCGTTCCCAAATTGCCTGCATACAACAGCCGAAATCGAGACGCACATTCATAGAAGACGGAGTCCCACAAAGCTCAGTGCACGGGCTGACCCTCTTTCTCTTTTCATTAATAATTGTGTAGGTGGGTTGGACTGTGATAGTGCCATGTTTGCAGATGACATAAAATGCGGAAAGTTGTCCAGAATGCTGCCGACGACACCAACTGCCAAGAAAATCTTTATCGAATGGACGAGTGGTCCCGCAGATGGCTCTTGTCCTTCAAATGCACCGTTATGTGCCTCGGAAATCAGGCCCATAGTACGCGGCAATACCATCTAAACGGAATGCCACTCCAAGAAGTAAAAACGCAGAAATATCTCGGAGTCTGGGTGGCAGAGAGCCTGAAGCCTTCTACACAATGTTTTAAGACGGCTAAGACCGCAACTTCAATGCTATACGCCATCAAGCGGGCATTCGCAGCTTCCGATGAAGACTGCTTCTCCAGAGTCTTCGGCATGTTTGTAAGGCCACATATCGAATATGCGATTCAGGCCTGGAGACCGTGGACGCAGCAGGATTACAATCTACTCGAAAGGGTGCAGAGGCGAGCAAAAGAGTCAATAAGAAGTCAGGGTGCACTGCCAAACGAGATTCGCCTAAACGATCTAAGTCATTATCCTCTGAGCTATAGGATGTTCCGCGGAGACTTGATCCAACCTGCCGTACATTGCGTGGTTTAGACTGTGCCCTTCAGTGCGACGACTTTTTTCGACTCGCCACTACAACTAACCTCCGGTGGCATCCCTTCAAACTCCGTGTGCCCCAAGGTAGATTGGATGTGAAAAAGTATTTTTTTCAACCGGTTAGTGGAACCGTAGAATCACCTGCCCCAGACTATTGTTATGTCTAAAACTGTGGAGACATTTAAATGTCGGCTTGACAGACATATGCTGCAGCAACAAGCTGGATTATGTGACTCTTTAGCCATAATACCAATGGCCTATGGGAACCGATGTCTGTATTCACTTAACGTTGTAATTTTTGCCCATTTCTGCTTATTTTATCGATTTACTATGAGCAAATAGGGAGCTTAAAGGCGTAAGCCTATTCCCATCAAATACACGAACTGCCTGACTGACTGTAAAGCGCGCTCACCTAAGTAGCAAAGCCGGAATTCGAACTCGGTACCTCCTGATCGAAAGGGCAGGGCTTTAACCACTGCACTAGGGGGGGAGGGTCGGTAGCTGGACAGGTTAATTTGTTAACTGAGGAACAGTATCAAAGAACAGTATTTAATTAAATGATAGCCTTTTGCGAAAATTGCCGATGAGATCACTGGACTCCAAAAGAATTAAGAAAAGTAGGCTCTAAGAGACAACAGGAATTACGGAGCAGTGTACTGCCAACAGGCATTGAAAACTGTTCGACAAATGAGACAGACACCGCTCCAGCCCATCTTTGTTCGGCTGCGAGAAAATTAGCAAGCGAATCCAGCTACTAGTAGAAAAGTATGGCCTAATGACTGCCATAATTGTGGCTATTGTGAAGCACAGTAACAGCGTCCATTACTAATCCGTCATTTTTCCGACCGACAGGCTGCGAATATCCTCCTAATAAGGACACAGTCTTGGAAAACTCAAAGTCGGTGATGAAGAGGATGCGAGTTATGTCTCCAGGAGAAACTCCAGGCGCAACAGAAGCAGGTCAAGTTTTATTACTTGCAAAAGTAACTTAGCCTACCAAATCGTTGAAATCTAAAGATGGTAAAGCCAGGTTTGGACTCAAGAGATCTGTTAGAAAACAGAACAACGGTTCGACTTTATCGTTGGTGGGCAAAGCTGTTGCTCCAATTTACCACAATTACAACCTAGATGGAAAGTGCCCTAAACATTCCGTATATAGGCAATAGACCGTGAGTTCTCAGATCTTTGACGGTTACTGAAATACATTAGCACCAATTTAGAGACTGCGGAAACTTGTTTATGGCATCCATGTCTTCTTCCACGTTCTACACGTTAAAAGCCTCCGTATTGGCGGACACTTCCACCACCGCTGCCCTTTCGGACATTGCATGTAAATACGTTTCCTTTAACATTAACGATGAGTTCTTCCTTGTTCACCTGTTGCATATCTTTGATGTAAACTGACTTTTACCGGCTATTTTGTCTCATCCTAAATTTACACATTGTTCATGTACAATTTCTTGTTTACTAAGAATTTCTTAACTACGCGTTCTGCTGACTGCACGACTGACAATGTACACCGTCCAGCAGATGTAATCAGCTGCTGAGTTAAGAATTGAAAACACGGTCGCCGTTTTCACGAGATAGCAGTCGCCGCCAGTAGTATATTTTAAAGTTACATGACACCTTTCCTGTAACCTTACAATACGCTACTAGCTGCCTGTCAGCGGGTAATGAATATTACGCCGTTATCCGCTGTGGTTGGTTGACTTCGGACCAAATATGCTCACATCAAATTTCGGTCTGCGCATATAGGCCTTAGTATGTGTTCGCAGATAATTTCTGAGGAAATAAAAAATCAACAAAATTTATTATTCCTGCCAACTGACTACTGCGCAAAATATTCCGCATGTCTGGAACAGCTGACTCAGTGCTTGATGAGATGCTGAGGAATTTGGGAAAAAACTCAGAGATAGCGACCCCGACTGAAGCAAAACTTCCTTTGCCTTCAGCCAATCAGATCTTGACTCTTACTAGCCTCACCGGCTATGGTGCTGCAAATAAACCAGATCAAAGTAACACATTTTAACAAATACTACTCCTAGTTCAGTCAGTAGTGCATATAGAACACGCTGAATGTATCATTTGTACCCTAATTTAACAGAAAGATATATGATCACATATGCCTGAAAAGATTCCTAGAAGGCTTTTGGATGCTATTCTCCCTGGTTCAGCTCAACTCCTATTATGAGTGTGAGATATGTGCTTGCCGAGAAGCCACACGACGGACAAGTAGTTCGAAATCGTCACAACCAATGAGTATACCCAAAAGCTTGCTCAAAGGGAAAGTGCGTTTCACCTAGTCATATTATCTGCTTATTCGCCAGATCGCAACTTCCCACAAGTGACCGGTAGTTAGCCATGTCGAAACGCCAAATGAGGTAATTTCTTAGAAATACATTTGCGTCATTTGCCAAACTGGAAAACGGCAACTGTCAGAGCGTTGACATTTACAAACCATGATTATGAACCTTTATTTCCAGGGTACAACAGCCAAACGCACGCTCGCAAAAAAATTATATGCTGTTCGCATCCGGCACATAGATGCATATTTTTCGATTTCTCGTATCTTCTCGCAGATAACCGCTAAAGTATCCTATGTGCGAGAATTTATAAGTGGATATAAACCGTAGGGAGATGCGAAAGGTGTGAATTTTCTGCTGTGCCAGACTACATGCAATTATGGGAATTAAAATGGGGCATGAACAATAATATGAATTGGAGCCGAATTCAACTTTGTAGATACAGGGACGAAGCCATGGGCAACAGCAAGAGCCGGCAATTGGTGTCTGTTGTGATTGCCGAGGACACAAACCCAATACTTAAAAAAGATCATAATTACAATGATTGTAATATAGTTATGGGGGAACCCAAATCACGACAAAGCTTACACGGCGATGTAATCAATTCGTCTCGTCTCAGTCAATGCAAAGCTAGTCTACTTGACAAGCGTGGTAATCGAGCTAATTCGGGGAAGCTGGAGCTGGCATTTTCGGATCTGGTTTACTATTTTAAACAACGGGGGTCTGTCAGACAGATCCGTTGGCAACTTAACGGTCTACGGTGGTACGGATATAAAAGGCACATTTTCACCTTCGAGGCTGGCCGCCGCTGCCAACATAGTAAGAACTTTGATGGCATCATTTTGGCTTTTTGTCCTCATGAAGTATCTCGTTGTTCTTAGCATCTGACGGTCTATGCAGTACTACTTTCTCGCCTTCGTCTCAACTCTCGTGTAGATCTTCTGACTCGGCAAACGCCGACTGATATCTGTTGGAATTTATTTCTTTACATCTCCGTCGAAATGCTCTTAAAATTGAAGGCAGTTAGCACGTTGTTTGGGGGTTCTATGACCTTTGTTAGTGCCTATGTCCCTTTTTCTAGTGAGGGCTCCGCATAATGACATAATCACCTTAGGTGCTGTTTAAAGGTCACTCGTCCAATTTAACTGCCCCACAGCAAAACTGCATCGAATAAGTGTAGAAGTGATAAAGGTGCAGGGCAGTTCTCCCACGTCCTTATGGGGATTTTTCAGTTATAGCATTCGCGGTTGGTTCACTAAGATCCAATTTCCACTGATTCTGCCTTATTAGCAGATCCCACATTCGACCTTCTTCCCTAGCTTCCCGCTGTCCTCGATGCAACAGTTAGCTCACATGGGCTATCAGTAACATGGGAAGCCTTGATCTCAGTTCACTGTCGTATATCTTGTGGGCATGATTAACTTCGCGAGGGACTTTGAAGTAACTGACATTGGTCATCTGCCTCTGGGTGTATATATTATTAGTTTATCTCACCATCCTTCAGTTCGAGCCTTCTTTACGCTTGGATTGAGGGAAGGGAAACAGAGGTGGACACCGATCGTACCGCTGACTTTCCGTCACTATAATAAATCTTGTGCCTTGAACTTTCCCGACGTGCTGAAAATAGTGACTTGGGAAGTTGCCAGTTGACGGAGTAAATTGGTCCTCTAGACAAAAGAATAGGCTATAATATCTCTTTTCTGTTGCGGTCATACGGTAGTTCTTACAGGCATAAGACCCAGATGGGCGGAACTTGATCCATTTCATTTGAGCAAACGTAACCCGTTTAGCAAGTAGAAGGGGAACATTACGCCAGCCCAGTTACTGGGCAGATCTTATCTTCAATAAGTTTCAACCGAAATTTCGACAAGTACACAACGGACAAGAAGAGCCAGAGATGCTAACTCGTCATTATCTGTGCTTTATGTAACTTACCTGGTACGTTTTTTTGCCATAACTAGGCATCGGACGCCATGGCTTGGAATGTTGCCAACCGTCTAGACGACACGTTCCTTCTTAATAAGTGTGGGTTTACGACGGCCCCTTAATATGGCATTGATTGCAACTAATCCTTGTGTGAGTCGGGTGATTTAAGCATGATTCGTGTGTAGTGAGGACCCTGTATGCGTATGACGCGTAAACGGGGACCTTGTGTCATGTCATCCATGTCGCCCACGTCCATATACAGTCGTCTTGAATACAAAGCATTTGGGGGACGAAAGTGAGATCTGTGCTATGCATTCACCCCTCATTGTTCCAAACTACGCCCAAACCACTGTATATTCGCCGATTTCTACGAACAAACTATAATTCCTTTCGTCCCGGTTTTGTCTTCTTGCGTTGGTCAGTTTTCTTTTTTGGCCCGACCGTTTTAACCTGGTCCAAATCCTTATTCTTCCCACATTTCCCATAGTCTTATGCCTATAGTCTGTTTGTCATAGTTATTAATCAGCACAATAGTGCAATCTCATAGTTAACGACAGTAATTAAGCTCGTCCCCGTACTTGACATGTCGGTTTCTACGCAAAGTATTTTACCAACCGATGAAGTTGTGGACATGATGTTGCACTTTTTCGGAGTGTCACGTTTCGTGGACCAGAGATTAAGCTCCTTGTTCTTTGCCTAACCGCTAAAGAAGGAGCTCTCGCACGTAATGGATAGGTCATTGTCTTGTTCACCGGGGTGCCCGGCCTCCTTCCCAGTGCATATGTATTGCTTCATGACGATGCTTACCATCATTAGTATTTTTTCGGGGTTGAGTGAGGGATGTCACCCGCGGGTTCTCTTTGCATCGACGGCTTAAGTCGGGACACATATGAAGGGCAAAATATGTCGTTGTCTGAACATAAAGTTAAGATTGCGGTAGATGGGAACAAAATTTGAACTGACTAGTAGAAGAAGGCAAAAAGAGGCGTTCAGTTCACATCGTTCGATGGTACGAATGCCGAAGTTGTTCAGTTAATGTCGCGATAAACGCATAGAATTCAGCTACCGCCACGGTATTTCTTACTATCTGAAAGTAATGTTAATCTGCGTATATCCCGTAGCCTCATTAACTCGTTTCGATTGCATCCGCTATATGTGGGTCGATGCTTGCTTTTTTCCGTTTCTATTCATCACCCGTGCTTTTGAGAGTACATGCGCTAACTTATATGCTTTAGTGTTGCTAAGGTCTTGCAACTCTGACCGTGAACGCACCGGTCGTTGTGGAAACGGGTAGTTTGATGCCAACCTTATGTCAAAATAGTAGCCTTGGTGGATGGTCATGAATAGTGAGTTTTTTTTATTGACCCGTGCATACAGGAGATTTCTCATTCGTTCTTGAGCTCTACTACTATCTGGACTTCATTTTTCATATCAATCATAAAAAACAGGTCTCTTACTGATGTTTTTCTGTCAAATTATGATGTTCACTCACTACTCTGCTTGCTAGCATGTCTGAAATCATTCCTTACACTTTCTTAGTAACTTCTTATGTTTGAATTTACTTTTTTTTAGCGGGGATCTTTCTTTTCAAATGTAAACAAGCATCCTTTCTCAGTGCTTTGCTCAGAAGGCAAGTCCATTGGCTAATGACCCTGGGCCCGTCTATCAGCGACAAGCCTGCTGACGTAGGTTATTCCTAAGTTTTTGACACAGGGCGGTACCGCCATTAGTTTGCTTTCGCTTAAATTATGGCTGACTGGCGTGTTTATACGAAGTTTACACTCAATAATTAGTCCTCTCTGGATGTTTTGCACTGAATTCCCTCCATTTTCGAGCGAGTCTTTTTATGTTAACACGGAAGAACTCAGAAATAAAGTTACCGGAGCACACGTCTCGCATCAAAGAAAACAATTAAAATGAACCTCTGTAGAGTTTTTGATATAACCGCGAAACATTCCTAAGATAGCGCATAAACTAAGCGTAAATACTTCTAATTTTCGCTTTCTAGAAGTCAGTCTGACACAACGTTTATTCTGATAAGGTGGCTATCTCTGCTGCCTTTTTTAAACTTTGCCAATGACCATAGTACGCATTTCTACCTTATCTTTTCTCGCATTTTGCGTATTTGTCATTCCTCTCCTTGTATTCTTTTTACCTCGAAGCATGCAGAGAACAGCCAAAATCCCCACACCTCCCAGAATACTCATGCTTCCGAGGGCAAGTGTTTCATTGACCCGAACTTCCCTCCGCCGTCGAGGACTGCAGAGAGCTCCCCTGAACTACTCGGTAGGCACACACTCCTCCGTGCTTAAATGTTTAAGACAAAAAACAGACGGATCTGAAACATTTCCTAGCTACTATTTTCCACTAGTCACATGGGCACGATCCGTCCTTGATAACGGGTCAGAATACTGTTTTTTTTCGAATTGAAGGTTATTGTGAACTAAGAATTCGCTTCCTGTCAACAACTGGTAAAGCATAAATCCCCAAGCTGGTACCACTTTTTAACGGCCTCCTCACTAGATTGTCGTTTTGCCAAAACCCACTCCTTCGCTTATTTTGTAGGCAACACTGGCACGACAGTCACGAGGGACCAGCGACGCAACTCCTTCCTTCCCGGAGCGACCAGCCAAGCGACACATAATTGGATTCAGAATCATTCAGTTTCTGACTCTGCAGCTCTTGCTGACAGTAATGGGGTCTTGTGCTTGTCCAGCCTGAATTCCACTCCTGCCGGATCGCTGAATCCGATCTGTGGCGTGTACCTGTTCGCCGTGCCCGACCCTCCTGTTGCTCACTGCTACGAGAATCAGCATGCAATGATTGGCTCCTATTATGGAGAGAACACAGCATGCTCGTAGGACGCGCTCATCTTCTGAACTCTGTATAGCGATCAGTATGCGCCCTTGGAAATCACGGGCGCCGTTACAACGTTGTACTCCGGCCCTTAAAACAACGCTGCCGCCCATGTCCCACTACACTATATACTGGGCATCGTTTTCCTTTCCCAGTGATCACGTGCATTTAGGCTCCTAATCAGCTCTTTGACCGTCTAGCTTGTACTGCCTTCCACTTGATTTATACTTCTGATCTACTGTTTTTGGATTTAACCCCGACTTGGTGTATTCGCTTCCTGCTCCTCTCATTGTAAGCAAACCTGCATTTGTCATGTTGCGAGATGTTAGTACCTCTTCAGGCATTGTGTTGTTGGCCTGTAGGAGTTTATTTTTGAACCGGCTTCGATGCTCTCACAAGCCGTGTTTAATCTAGGCGCCTTGCGCGGACTATACTGGATATGAGGGCTGTTACACGGTCGCACAGTAGATGGATGTATACGTCTGTGCTGCAATTCAGTCTGAGTCGAGGGGCACTAAGTTAATGAACAACTGTGTGTGAGAACTCTGCTGAGAAAGGTAGAATACAGACAGCAGGAACCTCTGAAAGATGAGTCGTAATTAATGTATAGGATTGCTACGAAATAAGCAGATCGTCTGCTTTTGCGGATGAGCAGTCACAGACCGCGTGACGATAATAGCCTCGTGCGTGACAGGGCATCGGTCCGGCTGATAGGTTTCGTATATGCCTTTAGGAAGAGTAGTATTAGAGCGTTGCGAATGTTGTCCGCCACCCAGTAGGGTCCTTTTCGTCGTCTAGCAGACTAGAGTTCAACTAATAAAGCAGACAGTGCCGGGCACCTTTGTAATTCCCCGTGAATCCTAATGAGCTATCACCCAGCTCCGTCCGACACTGGTAGCCCGTTCGCATCGGCGAAATGATTTATCCTGGACGGTTTCATTGGCATCGGCGGTCGGACAAATGGTTACTTTGGAGGCTTATCGATTGTTTTCAAAGAGGTCTTGAGGCCTAAACTGTTTGTGACGCCCCTTTTTAGGTGGAGCGCAATCAAAAAGGCAAGCGGTTTGGGCTTAGCGGGCGTGAGCCCGTGAAGGCTTGTGCCTGTCTGTGGAATCCGATTACCGTGCCAGATGGAAGGCCTCTAGACGCATACGGCTTCTTCCTGCGTAACATCGCCCTATTCCCAATTTTTTAATTACCTGAGCGAAAAACGTCACGCAAGTGTTCGTCGCCAGCAACGACGTCCGCTGCGTGCCCCAGGAGATCCACCAGGGTCCAGTGGCAAGACGTTCGAAGGTGGGCTCCGGAGCAGTGGCTGGCAGATCTAGACGGTTCTGCACGATCCTCACAAGACCTGGTCCCGCACAATTTCCCAAGAATTGACAGACGCACCGGAGCAGTTCGCATCTTACATTCATGAGAGTATTGGCTTCAGACCGCCGTCCGGAACAGCTGCGGACTTCGAAGCAATTCAAAATTCGTAGTGTACACGGCAGTATTTTTGACGACGTTATTATATGGGGCGTGGGCCTGGGTCACCTATGCCACTTAAGTTGTCTCGGGAGTATACTAAAGCTGAGGTAGTAGGACGGGATCCCAGACACGGAAGTCCTGGGACGGAGTAGAATCCTCATTATTCACGCCGTGCTGAGGCTACTGCGATGAAGCGGCTAGTTCCTGAGGATGGACGACCGGCGCCTGCCCAGGCCGCCATTCTACAGTGGTGCCGTCACTGGTGCTCGTCGACAAGCAAGCTAACAACGACGCTACAAATGCAGCCTGCGGGCCTCCCTTAAGAAACTACAAGTCAATCCGTCAACTACCACTTCTCCCACTCCAACCGCCGATGAGAACACTCAACGTCCTGTCAACAATAATTCGGCCGCCGGGTTCGACGATGTCCACCGTGGGCTCCACAGCAAGATGGAGCAGGAACAGTGACTTGCGCGTGAATTAGTTTATAGTGGTAGCGGACTTTCGATGTATCTACCGCACTCTCCTATCCTCACCCTGCGGATCCGGTGTCAAGACAGAGTCAAGAAGACCGGAGGAGGGGAAGGCGCAGGCGGATGGCGCGCTTGAGCCTGCACCTCGGCGTTTAACTCCACATCCCCTGGTCCATACAGCGAATGTCCAGATTTTTGACCAACAATAACAGCAGTAACAACAGCACCCCAACAGGGGGCCAGAGCGTCAGGGATGACTGTGCACTCATGCCCACCACCTGTGTACCTAGCGGGAGTACAAACGCATCTATCGGCAGTGACCAGGTGTCGGGGACTGCCTGAGCATGCCAGGCTGTGAGGGCCATGGTTTGCTGATAGTGGAATAACACACTTACAGACCTTTTGACCTAGATGGGCGACACGTGGTCCTGCATGTAGCCTGGTCCATCTCCCTTCAAGGTTAGGTAACCAAACCGTCTTCGACTGAGAGGCGCTACCCATCCAGTACACACACTCTCCTCACTTACATGAGAGTGTCAAAGATCGCTGGAGAAGGTGCCGCTTCTGTTTGGCTGTCAGCCCGCCAGTCCGTCACTCCACACAACATACACATACAACTGGAAGGACTGCGTGGACTGAGTTGGGGCGTCAGTCGGCTCCCTTCCGAGTCACGACGCTCGAAGAACCGTGACAGTCTCGGACTCCGACCACTCATGCGGCTGGGAGGCTGCATAGAGGAGGAGCCGAGATGCATGCTTCTCACTTTCGCGGGAAATGGCGGTTGGGTGTTTGAGGTGAGTGAGACTGATGTGCGGTGAGATGCTGGTGGGGGAGGATGTGGTAGTGTGATGCAGCCGGCGGTAGTCTACCTCAGGTTTTCGTGGATGTGCATGTGGCCTAATAGACCCATGTGGTGAATTAATGTGCGAGTCTAATGTGGGCAGTGGAGATGGGTTCGGCGAGCGTAGGTTGGTGCTCCAGGCACTGGGTCGTCAGTCTCTGTGCGGTGGGTTCACAAGTAACCGACCATTCCGATGCATGAGGGAAATGTGCGTGGACAGTGTGGACATGAATATTCGGCGGTGTCGGTCTCAGCTTCGGTGGTGGTGGGCGCGCTGGGCGATGGGGTGTGGGTTGGGCTGAGCATAATGGGTGTGCAAGATGTACTGAGTGTTCTGGAGATGGTGGCGGTGAGTACGCTGGTCTGCGGAGCGTGGGCGGGGCTAGGTGTGCTGGGTGTATCAGGGCTGCGGCCAACTCCGCTCTCGTGGACACGCATGTGGCCGAATAGGCCCATGCGGCGCATGAATGTGTGAGGCTATGATGGACAGTGGTGACGAATGAGGCGGGCGTAGGTTGGTGCTCCAGGCACTGGATCGCCAGCCTCTGTGCGCTGACTTCGAAAGTGACGGGCCAGGCCGATGTGCTAGGTGAAGGTGCGGTCGCAATGAGGACAGGCATAGACCGGGTCCTCACCACTGGTGTCGACGGTGGTGTTGGTGTTTGTTGGTGTGTCAGGATTTCGTCTAATGTTGATGCGCGTGGCAAACGCCACAGCGGCTGACGTTGAGACGGTGAGGGAGGAGGCAGTGAAGTGGCTGCGCGGGCTCTAGCATGCGGTCGCCAGAGTGAGTTGTCAACAGAGGCCCAGACGTAAATCAACTCATTCGTGTGTATGTAGATGCTTGTTATGGACTAGTCGACGGTGATGGTGTTGGCGTTTATTGGTATGTCAGCATTGCGTGTCATTTTGATGTGCGTGGCAGACGCCACAACGACAGACGTTGAAGCGGTAGGGGAGGATGAGGAGGAGGAGGAGGAGAAGGAGGAGGAGGAGGAGGAGGAGGAGGAGGAGGAGGAGGATGGAAGTGGTGGTTCGGGAGAGCGAACAGAGTTAGTTGATTTCGTAGTAGGCGAGGGAGAGGTGAACGAAGAGACGACGGTTGGCGTAGTCCGAGTGCTGCAGTTGGTCCGAAGGTGTTTAACAAGTCCAACTGGCGTCTGGAATGTCCACTGACATCGTGGACACATTGGGGGCGGTTGGGCGTTTGCGTTGCGAGGTAGACGCATCTGAGATTTGCGAGCTTCTCGTTTTGCTTTCGCGGCGGCGATGTGGTTTGCCTCGTAGATCGTTCCGTCTGTCTTCACTGCCCTCCTTCAAGTCGGTCGGTCTCGAGCGAGATCTTCCCATTTGGTCGGGTTAACTTGCAGGCGCTTCAGGGAGGAATTCAGAGTATCCTTGTATCGACGAATTTGGCCTCCCTGGCCACGAGAACCCATCGCGACGTCTCCGTAGAAGAGTCGTTTGGGTAGCCGCTCGTCGTCCATGCGTACCAGGTGGCCGCTCCAACGCAATTACAGTTGTCTCAGCATTACGTAGATGCTAAGAATTCCCGCCCGTACGTTTGTCGGGAATTCGGTCTTGCCGCCTCAGCTTCAGTATCCGTCGAAGACAGCTGCGGTGGAAGTGCTTGAGTCTCCGCGCTTGCTTCTTGTAGGCTGTCCAGATCTCCCCTCATACAGCAGCGTCGGTAGGATGATTGCCTTTTACATCTTAAATTTAATGCTGATGTGGGGGCAGTGGCGGTTCTAGACGGTGTTCTGCAGATGGCCGAAGGCTTCGCTGGCTTTGCAAATACGGCGGGCCACTTCGTCGTCGACTTTGGTGCTGCGGGAGAGGGTGCAGCCCAGATACGTGAAGTTATCCGCCACTTGCATTTGGGTCACGTTCAGGGTGATTTGCGGCGCATTGTGGGCAGTGTTGGGTGGCGGTTGATGCATGACCACCGTCTCCTCAGTGTTGCTGATCAGGCCGAAGTTCTCGCAGGCGGCGACGAAGAGGTCCATGCTCCTTTGCATGTCCACTTCAGAGGTGGTGTTAAGGGCTCAGTCGCCGACGAGGAGGAGTTCGTGGACGGTGGTTGTGGATACACGCGACTGGAAGTGCATGCGCCTGTGGTTGAGGAGGTGACCGTCCGACTCGTAAGCCATAGGGATCCCGGGACATTCGTCACAGTAGGCGTTCATCAGCATGGCAGAGAACATAAGACTGAAGATCGTTGACAAGAGGGCGCAATCCTGCTTTATTCCGTTGGATACTTCGAATATCTCTGAGACAGTTCCGTTGTCCGTGACGCTCGCCACCATACCATCGTGGAGCTGACGCACCATCTGGGTGAATCGTTCGGGACAACAGAATTTCTGCATGGTTTTCCAAATTCCTTCGTGATTCTCCGTGTCGAAGACTTTCGTCAGATCCACGAAGGTAGAGTAAAGGTGAGTCCGTCTCTCCTGGCACTTCTCTCCTACAGTTGTGTGGGGCAGCAAAGATAATGTTCGTGATCCCACGATGACGAAGAAAGCCGCACTCGCTTTCCGACAGAAGACCTTGTTCTAGGTGGTTGTTCAGACGATTGAGAAGAATGCGAGCAAAGAGTTTCCCGGCAGTGTTCAAAAGAGAGATGCCTTGGTTGTTGTCGCAGAGCTTGTGGTTGCCTTTCCGCTTATAAAGATAGGCAGTTTTGACGTCCTTTAAATCCTGCGGGACTTCACCTCGACACCACATCTCTTGGAAGAACGTCGTCAGATGATCCATGAGTTGGGGGTCATCGTGCTTGTAGATCTCAGCAGGGATCGCGTACGATCCGGGCGCTTTCCCGTTGGAGAGCTGCAGCACGGCCCCGATGGTTTCGTGGAGAGAGAGCGGAAGGTCGAGGTCCACGCTGGTCTCCACTTGAGGCAAACGGGCGATGGTGGCGTCGGAGATGATGGAGGGACGGTTAAGGAAGCCTCGTAAGTGCTTGGCCTATTTCTGCAGATTTTGTGTCTTCTCAGTGAGTAGGGTACTGCTGTCGACGCTGAGAAGAGGAGCATTTGTCTATAGCTGTGGGACCATAGACAGCATTGACCTACGCGATCCTCGTACCTCTGGATCTCCTGGGCTTTGTAAGCCGTTCAAGCGCCCTGCATCTCACGGAACCGCTGTTTTACAAGTCAGCGACCACAGTAGACAGCAACTCTGTTGTCATCGGTGGGGCGGTCGACGTAGGCTTTGTGCAGGCGGTCCTTCTTGTCGAGCGGGCTGATGATGACGAAGTCATTGTTGTCGAACCGGTTCTGGTGTAGGCAGCGTGCGTGACCGAGGACGACCAGCGCCCTAGACTGGACTGTGGCCCGCAGTTGACACCATCGGTCGTCAACGGAGGCGTTTTTTTCAGCGGCGGCAGCGACTAGAAGGTTGTCTAGCCGCTGAGCTAGCTCGTTGTTGCAACGGAGATGGTGAGCAGGAAGAGACAACAAAGCAATATTCAGCCTACCTGGGGATCGCTTACCTTGAGGTCTCCCGCGAGGCTGTAGGCGAATCTGCATCTTCGAGTTGACGAGACGATGGTCGGCCTTCCCTTCGGCACCCGGGATCTCCTTTGTCACCAGCACTTTCCGCTGATGTCGCTCCCGGATGAGGACATGGTTCAGCAGGTGCCGAGGGTGCATCCAAGTGGCCTTCTCCCACACCGGGATGAGGAAGGTGTTATTCAGGATGAGGCGGTGTTCTGCGCAGGTTCGTAGAGGGAGCAGGCCATTGTCAATGGAGCCGTCGAGACCATGGGGACCTAGCACTCCTCTCCAGGCCGCATGGTCTGCGTCGACGCGGGCGTTGAAGTCGCCAAGGAAAATAACTTATCCGCCTTCAAACAGTCGTCAGGAGGGCATGCAGGTCCTCGTATAATTTTTCCCTTGAGGCGTCGGGGCTGGGCATCGGTGGAGCTTAAACGCTGATGATGATTGCGAATTTGCCTCCTCGGAGAGGCGGGTGTTAGCTAATCAGACGATCGTCGATGTCCTGCGGCAGACAGGGCTGTCGTCCCACGATGTTGCTCCGGATGGCAAAGGCGACACCGGCGTTCCATCACTCTGCCTTGGGGCGACCGCTCCAGGAGGTGTAGCCGGTACCCACCTCCTCCAGTTGGCCTTGTCGGGAGAGCCGGGTCTCGCTGAGTACTGCGATGTCCACCTTGTAGCGCGCCAATTACCAAGCCACTAGTGTCGTTCTCCGTTCCGGTCGGTTGCTCCTCGGGTTGTCTAAAAGCGAACGAACATTCCAGGATGTCAGAGTAAGCGGACTCACCCTATCAGTCTGGCGAGTGGGGCGGCGGAGAGGAGTAGGAAGTGGGAGAGAGAGTGTGTGATGTTTCGATTTTGATTGCTTTGACAGAGGAGGAGAAGGAGACCTTGAGTCTAAAGTCTGCGACCACGGTCAGCGTGCAGATGGTGTGGTTTCCAAGCATTTGTTTAGGGTACCTTTTCCAACCTCCTCCCCCTCACGGGGATGAGCAGTGTCACCCCAAGTAGGGCTGCTCAGTTGTGTCAGGAGCTGCCGAACTCCACTATAGGCCACGGGTTTGATGTAGTGGAAGAACGACCCGAGTTGGCTTAGGAGGGCCTACAACATCAGCGTAATCTTATGGCCTCCTGCGGTGTTCAGGACGTAGCCTTGTGCTGAGGTACTGGAATAATTTACATTTGACAATTTAGTCTGTTTTCTTTGCCGAGATTGCTTGTTTGAGTGTGACAGAAAACAACACACCTGTACAACCCGTCTTGCCAGCGTGCTCCGCTGTTGTGCTCTGTTGTCAGGTTTCTTAACGTGCAAAATCTGTATATTATTCTCTGCTCAGTTTTACTTGCTGCCTTTAAGGATAGGGGCTCGTGGGATATAAATCGTCAGTTCGTGAGCACATTACCATCTACGTCATTGGTGACCCCGACGTTAACGCAGACTTTATACCTTTCTATGTCATACTGAATAACATACTAATTGTTTGTGAATTTCTATTCCATTTACATTTACTTTCCTCACGAATTCTGATATTTTGCCACCTCTTTCTTATTATATCTCACTACAACCAACAACTTGATGCCCCCGCCCAGTCCCTTCATGCCACCAATTTAACCTTGCCTGAATTCTGGCAACACGCTCCAGAACTTTATTTCCTCTGCATCGAATCAGCCTTTTATTCTGTTAACGTTACCAAGGAGTTGGCGAAATACCTCGAACTCGCGGAGGTCCTCCCCGCTAGTCTCATCTCTCAAGTTCAGTCCTTGCTATCAAATCCTCCAGCAGATGCTCCCTATTCCACGCTAAAGGTAGAAATTCGTCGACTTAAATTTGTGTCCGACCGACAGCGGTATCATCAGTTAATTAAGGAAGAGTCACTGAGTGACCGGAAGCCCTCAAAACTACGTCTAATGCGTTTTCTCCTTGGAGACATGCAGGTTGACGAGAAATTCGTCAAGAAGATGTTTATAGAGCGTCTGCCTGCAGATGTTCAAACGATTCTGGCGTCCAATTCTCAAGATCTCACGATCTCACAGCTGGCTGAGATGGCGAATCGAATGATAGAGGTGCAGCGGTTCCAGTCACTGTCCGTTGCCCAGATCTCCTCATCCTCATCATCAGTGAATGAGCATTTAATGAAGCAGGTGTCGGCCATGGCGGATGAAATGGCCTCCCTTAAACTACAGCTCGCCCCCCTTACTTCCAGTCGCCCACGCAACCGTCTTCGTTCTCGTTCGCGACCTCGGACTGCCGATACTTGTTGGTATCACACTAATTTCGGCGTAAAGATCCGCTGCTGTTTTTCACCGTGCTCTTTTAAGCCGAAACAAAGAAACCAGTCAGCCAGAGAATAGATGCGACCGTTTTCTCTGGCTCTTCCGGCTCTGGTCGTACCTTCTGTGTTTGCGACACTGCGACTCACAGACGTTTCCTGGTGGACACTGAAGCCTAAATCAGCGTTGTTCCCCCAACTGCAGCTGATCGTCGTTTCCCTAGCCCTGGTCTTCACCTCTAAGCTGTCAACTGTTCTCCCATCCCCACTTTCGGCAGTCTGTCCCTCACCCTGAACATTGACCTTCGTCGGTCATTCGCTTGGATCTTTGTGATTGCTGGTGTCCCTCATGCTCGGACGTTCTTGCCGTGTTCGATCTCCGTGTTGACTGCCGACGTGTCCGTCTCCTTGACCGCACAACCGGTCTGTTTGTTTGTGGACTAACACCCTTCACTGCCCCCATCAACTTATCTGTCTTGGATAAGGATATTGCTAGCCCCTTTCGGCAACTGCTTCTTAGTCACTACAACATAATTAATCCCCAGTTTTGCAGTGGTGAGGTTCAACATGCTGTTTTGCACCACATCCGCACCTCAGGTCCTTCAGTGTTTTCTCGGCCGAGACGACTAACACCAAGACTTTTTCAGGCTGCGAAGGCGGAGTTTGAACACATGCTGCAACTGGGAATAATTCAATCGTCCGAGAGCCCTTGGACGTCCCCACTGCACATGGTGCCCAAGGCGACATCAGGCAACTGGCGACCCTGTGACGACTATTGAGCCCTCAACAGCGCTACCATTCCTGATCGGTACCCCGTGCGTCATCTTCAGGACTTTGCAGGAGCCCTTTTCGGCAAAGCGGTTTTCTCAAAGATTGATCTGGTGCGTGCTTTTCATCAGATTCCAGTCGCCCCCGAGGACATCCCTAAAACCGCCGTCACCACACCCTTCGGTCTCCTTGAGTTCATCCGCATGCCGTTCGGTCTTCGTAATGCCGCCCAAACGTTCCAGAGGTTCACCGACCATGTCTTACGTGGCCTACCATTTGTGTACGCCTACATTGATGACCTCTTGGTGGCCAGCCGGAATATGGAAGAACACAAAGAGCATCTTGCCTTGGTGTGTGACCGCCTTGACAATTTTGGCGTTGTCATCAACCCCCCCAAGTGCGTGTTGGGTGGGCTTTTGCTCGAGTTCCTCCGCCATCAGGTCGACTCTGAAGGTTCGCGTCCCCCCTCTCCAAGGTTGAAACCGTTCGTAATTTCGCTCCATCAACTTCCAAGTGACAGTTACAGCGATTCCTCGGCATGGTTAATTTTTACCGTCAGTTCCTACCGAACTGTGCTGACCTCATGTTGCCGCTCACCAACATGCTTTCTGGTCCCAAGGATCCCCTCGAGCTGACTGGTGAAGCACTGACTGCTTTTGAGAGAATCAAGAATTCCCTTGCCGACGCCACCTTACTCACGCATCCCACTACCGAAGCTCCGCTGTCTCTGATGGTAGATGTTTCGACCGTAGCCGTAGGTACAATCCTTCAACAACCCCTTGCTGGCTCGACTCGACCCCTTGCCTTTTTCTCCAAAAAGCTCTTACCAGCTGAGACACGCTACAGTACCTTTGGCCGTGAACTGCCTGCTATTTACCTGGCTGTGAAGCATTTCCGGCATTTCCTTGAACGTCACGACTTCACTGTTTTCACTGACCACAAACCGTTGACTTTTGCATTTCGTTCCCGCTCCGACAAATGCAATCTGAGGGAACTCGCCCACCTGGACTACATCTCCCACTTCACCACCGACATCCGCCACGTTGATGGCACGAAGAATGAGGTGGCTGATATGCTGTCCAGACCCTCACTGTCTTCCCTCCAACTCTCACACGGGATCGATATTTGCGCCAAGGCGGCTGAGCAACAGCGGGTCGGTTGTCCTGGTGACGAGTCTGTTAGTGGTCTCCAACTCAAAGACGTTTCTCTGACCACCGGCTCTGGTGCCATACTTTGTGACGTCTCAGCTCCCTTTCATCACCCTGTCGTGCTTGCCTCGATGCGTCGAGCTATATTTCAAACCCTGAATTTACTCCCCCACCCTGGGATTCGAGCCTCTCAAAAGCTCCTCACGGAAAGGTTTGCCTGACCTGGCATGAACAAGGACGTCAAAACTTGGGCTCGGTCGTGTCTGAGCTGCCAGCGCAACAAGGTGCAGCGTCGCAACAAGTCTCTACCGGGCACTTTCCCCAGTCCCGACGCACGGTTCAGCCATGTGCCCCTGGATGTCGCAGGCCCCTTGCCTCCATTCAATGGTTTCACTCACCTCCTTACCTGTGTCGATCGATATACCCGCTGGGCTGAAACTAGTACTTTGCCGAATGCGCAGGCTGAAACCATCGTGAAGGCCTTCGTCAGTCGTTGGATCGCCATGTTCGGTGCCCCATCCACGGTTACGACTGATCTTGGTGCCCAGTTTGAGTCGGTACTCTTCCAAACGCTCCTCAATTTCCTTGGCTGCACACGCATTCGGACGACAGCCTACCACCCAACTGCCAACGGTATGGTTGAGCGTTTCCATCGCCAGCTAAAGACCGCCCTGCGTGCCGTAGAAGATCCAGGAAACTGGTCAGACAACCTTCCTCTTGCATTCCTGGCATCCGTGATGCTCTGAAGTCGGAGCTGGGCTGTAGCGCAGCCGAATTGGTTTTTGACACTACCCCCCGACTGCCAAGCGAGATGATCACTCCAACCTCTCGCGGGACCGGCGAGACTCCTGACAACCTTGTGCACCGTTTGCGGCAATTTATGCGCTCGCTTTCCCCGGTTCCACCACGAACTCCAATGACTGAGTCTTATGTCGAAAAAGACTTGGACAAGTGTATTCATGTGTTCTTCCGGTGTGACCGTGTGCGCCAGCCGCTGGAATCATCATACGAAGGACCGTTTCGCGTGCTCGCGCGCAATGCCAAGACCTGCTGGATTCTTCGCGGTGACAAGGAAGACGTGATCAGTGTCGATCGGGTCAAGGCTGCTGTTGCAGAGGAGACGCCGGACCTGTCACAAGGGCGAAAATGTGCTGACCCCCCTAACCCTTGTCCTTCCGTCTTCCCTATCGCCTGCTTATTCACCCTGCCCTCTGCCTCGCCCTTTCACTCCCTTGCCTTCTACCCTTCCGTCCCGCATACTTCCTCTCCCTACATGTCTACAGCATCCAACTGCAACATCATCCTCCACCATAGCACACAGTCAACCCTCTTCGACTGTACCTCCTGCATAAATCACTCGCAGTGGCCGTCACGTCCATTTCCCCGATTGTTTAGTTACGCATTTTTTCTAGAATTATGCATATCCTCCGACGCCGTATTACGTCACCCTCCGGTCCAGTAGGGGGGTAATCTGGCGAGGTACCGGACTAATTTACCTTTGACAATTCTGTCCTGTTTTCTTTGCCGAGATTGCTTGTTTGAATGTGACGGAAAACAACACATCTGTACAGCCCGCCTCGCTAGCGTGCTCCGCTGTTGTGGTCTGTTGTCAGGTTTCTTAACGTTCAAAATCTCGATATTATTCACTGCTCAGTTTTACTTGCTGCTTTTAAGGCTAGGGGCTCGTGAGATATAACTCGTTAGTTCGTGGGAACATTACCCTCTCTGTCAGCCTCATCTCGACTGTGCCGATGCAAAGGTCCATCAGGCCAGCGGAGTCCGTATTACCCTGTGCGCAGATGCACACACGGATACCCGACCTAGCCCGCCTGTCAAGGCCGCTACCGGGGTGTGGCCGCTAGGCAGAGCCTAGCTTCGGGGAGCCACATATAAGAGTTTGGTGCCAACAAATGGACGCTGGGCGTAGTCTGCACCCGCAAGCAAGTGAGCGACCTGCTACGACCGTCACGTGAACCCACCGCTGGACACTCCTGACACCCCGCCCTGCCAACCACTACCTTCAGCACCAGCGCCCCCCAGCACTAGCAATGCGGACTCGGTCTCAAACTGTTCTCATTCCGATCGAGCATTCAGTTCCGGCATCGGCCCCGTCGGCCACTTGGGATCCATCGCACCGAGACCGGCTAACCTGTTCCAGGAGCTCCGAAGTACACTCACCTCAAGTATCCGCATTGTCTTCGTACATGCAGTCATCGAGTGGTCTCACTTGGTCAAGTGCGTATCCACGAAATCGGATTTCATCGCAATGCCGAAGCGTCAAGCCCCCACTACCTATTCGACAGTTCTCCCCTCGCCAGCACTATCAACATCCCCTCTATCGGTGTTGCCACCACCAGAGACATCATTACCACAAATAACACAGCAGCTACCAACCTGCCCTACCTAAGCTGTCATTGCGCATGCAAATCACCCACCAGCTTGGTTGGTCACCTGCGAATCCATCGCACAGGGACTGGTGAACTAGTGTCCGGGACAGCAGCATACACCCGTTGCAACCGTCCCAGCTGTCCACACTGCACACACATATTCAGTTGCCGCATGGGCCTGCTCGACCACCTGCGTCTCCGTGAAAATCTGCGGCAAACTGCCGCAGACTATGCCACATCACACACACGACAGTTCGACCGTCGGTTTCGACGATGTCCACCGTATGCACCACAGCAGAGTAAGAGCAGGGACGGTGACTTGTGGGAAAATTTAGTTTATAGCGATAACAGACTTTCACGCATCTACCGCACTCTCTCCTCCTTCCCCCTGGACCCGATGTCAAGAGAGAGTCAAGAAGACCGGAGGCGGGAGAGGACGCATGTGGATGGCGCGCTCGAGCCCGCACCTTGGCGTTCCGCTCCACACCCCCTGGTCCACACAGCAGATAACCAAGTTTTCGATTAACTACAAAAATGGGGGGGGGGTGGCAGGGGCCCGGTGTGCGCGGCGCACGCCCGCACTCGGGTCCGCCACTGCACCCCGAAATGTTGGCATTTGTTATGGTGCGCAACTCCGATAACGCTTGCCAGAGTCCAATATGGTCCCCGTGTTGGTCCAACGCATCTACCATGTGGCCCGTTTGGGGAGTCAAAAACACACACACACACAGACGCCGACCACTCATTCGGTTTAGCCCGCCCTGCAAGGACGGTTACCTGGATGTGACCGTCGCGCTGAGTTTGGCTTTATGGACCCAGGGATGAGATTTGGGTGCTGGGACAGGACGCAAGAGACGTATCCACCAAGATCCATCAGTGCGTTTGACGGGGACTGTCAGTGTGCTCCCTATAGGTGCTTCGCATCCCTATGTCCTTGCCACACAACAAGTCCCGCTTGAAGTCGCCTATGCTAAACTGTTGTGCGTGATAATCGCCGGGATTGTGTGTGTGGCGGGAAATACTCATCAGTGCAAGGTTACGCAAAGTCCATCCAAACGCATTGGTGAACACGACATTCCAGTCCATGGTTAGGGTACTCCATGCGCCCCATTCATTGCGTAGGCACCTGAAAACCGACTTTTAAATATTCATCTTATTAAATGGCCGATAGAGGCTGTTTCACGCGTTGATACAGAAGAGACCGGGTGGTAATTCTAGTACATGCCTAGAACCTCCGACCGGAGGCTAAATTTATGCTTTTGAATGAATAAGATCCACGTGGAGTCTGATCAAATTTAGCTGACTGATCTTCTCGGACTGATTCTAGGCACAAAGTAGTTTTTCTTACTCGGTAAGGGCATGGTTTACGCCTGGGATCATTTATTTCGGGCGGCAATTGTGCTAAAGTAAATGATTGGTGGTATTTATTTGGAGATGCCAGAGAAAGGAATGAAAAGACCTCTCGGTGTCTGCTACGTTAGGTTGGTCAAGAAGCTTTAAGGTATTCATCAGAGTAAAAATACGACAATGCAATGCCTTTTTGACAATGCCTCCAAATTGGTACTGAATTTATTTATTATTATCATTAAGTGGTAAAAACAGTGCCTCCTTTTGATTGGTGGCAGTATGAGGAATCAGAATTTTTGATACCACAAAGTTCTTGGATGCTCGGCACTTTTCCTCAACACAATTGCTCCCAGAGTAAGTGACCCCGGGTGTGAACCATACCCTTGCACTACACTTTATAATTGTCTAGGACCCCCGACCGGAGGCTATATTTATGCCTCTGAATGAATAAGATCCATATGGAGTATGATCAAATTTAGCTGAATGATCTGCTCGGGTGAATTCTAAGCGCGAAGTAACTCCTTTACTCTTTCGATCACATTGCACTATAGGATTATTGTCAAAAACGATCTTCGTCTGACCATTGCACTATCGTTAACGGAGTATAAACCTCCTAAGCAGTTTTCCTCAGTAATAGCGCCCATGATTGATATGTTTCGCGAATTGACCTTCTTATTTCGTTTTAATCGGTCCAGATCATCAGGATTCTACAGGAAGGTATCACGGAATGCATAGACTCAATTAAGTCTACTCTTTAACCTCGTTTGAAATTTTGCTTTCACGTCCATCAGTTTGGTTACCCTGGTCACTCGCAGCGAACGCTAGGGCACAATTTTTTGTTTCGGTATAATGGACCACCGCACACCTTTTAATGACTGCAAGACATTTATCCTCCAAACTCTCTGTAACAGTAGTAGACGAGTGAGACACAGAGAGAGAAATAGCATAAGAGTTGTGCCTGGGTCCCAAGAGGATCCACTTTTGAGATCTCACGTCCTGTTGGTAAGTTGATCAAGTGTTTACTTGATGACCAACTGTTCGTCCTCTAGACAATGAACTTCAGAGTTGCCTGTCATTCAAAGAAGTATCTAGTTACGATCAGCCTGCCAGTAGTTAGTTTGACTTGCTTTTGTCAAAATGGCCCTTAGGAAAAATAGTTGGGGGCATTAGTGCCGGATGGTCGGCTGAGTAGTTTTAACTACACTACTTCCATTAGTGACTGGAAGCCGCGGTATTTTACTGCATATGTTCGAAGTTGTGTCCAGATCAAAAAGCGAGGATCGTTTTATGGTTCACTAGAATGAAGAATATTTTTACACAAGTCTGGGCGAGCGAACTCACTGAAACAAGCCCTAGACTCGGCCCGGACACGAACCGAAGACTGACAAGCTAATACTGATACAGCAAGACAATGCTCTGCCGAATAATCCATAAGACTGAAGTACAGAGGCCTCTCTCATCCAAATATACAAGTAAAGGACGACTGTCAGACCATCTGTGAAAACCCCACGATGGTGTTCAATGGCATCCAGCGAAATGATAACAAAAATCGTGGAAACGAAATCCGAACGCAAATCACAAGTAAAAAGGAGCAACGACAGCCACAGTAGGCTACAGAAGAAGATGGGGTTATGTAATTCTGACCGTCGCGAACAACATGTCTGGACGAAAGGCTAGAAAGTTCTTTTGATGTAGTTACTGTGACACCGTTAGGTAAATCCGGGAGTTTCCTCAACTGCCACACAGACTGAGGGCAATAGTAATGACCATTTGCTACTACCTCCTTCCTCAGCGTGGACAGAAGAGCAACCGGATTCTGTATTGAGAGTCTCATCTGGACTGGACCGCTGTAGTTTCACGATATCGAAAGTCGGCGAGGTCTGATCCTGCAGTCCCACTCGATAACTGCCATATAATCAACTCACTGGGTCATTTTGAGTAGGCGTGATTACGTTAACTTCAAATACATCACTGCACGACCGGTGTCGCGGGAATGTATGAACACTCAACCG